TGCAGTTGTTGGGGAACGTAGTAATTTCAAAAAATTTCCTACGCACACGCAAGATCATGGTGATGCATAGCAATGAGAGGGGAGAGTGTGATCTACGTACCCTTGTAGACCGACAGCGGAAGTGTTGTGACAACGCAGTTGATGTAGTCGTACGTCTTCACGATCCGACCGATCCAAGCACCGTTACTCCGGCACCTCCGAGTTCTTGGCACACGTTCAGCTCAATGACGATCCCCGGGCTCCGATCCAGCAAAGCGTCGGGGAGGAGTTCCGTCAGCACGACGACGTGGTGATGATGATGATGTTCTACCGACGCAGGGCTTCGCCTAAGCACTGCAACGAGATGATCGAGGTGGAATATGGTGGAAGGGGGCACCGCACACGGCTAAGGAACGATCACGAGGATCAACTTGTGTCTCCATGGGGTGCCCCTTGCCTCAGTATATAAAGGATGGAGGAGGAGGAGGCCGGCCAAGGCTTGGTGCGGCCAGGATGTGGAGTCCTACTAGGACTCCAAGTCCTAGTAGGAGTCCACCAAGAGGGGAGGAAGGGAGAAGGAAGTGGAGGAGTAGGAGAGGTGGCCGGCCCCCTTTTCCCTAGTCCAATTCAGACTAGAGGGGAGGGGGGGCGCAGCAGCCCCTTGGCCCTTTCTCCTCTTCCCACTAAAGCCCATCAAGGCCCATTGCTTCTCCCGTAACTACCCGGTACTCCGAAAAATACCCGAATCACTCGGAACTTTTCCGATGTCCGAATATAGTCATCCAATATATCAATCTTTACGTCTCGACCATTTCGAGACTCCTCGTCATGTCCCCGATCTCATCCGGGACTCCGAACTCCTTCGGTACATCAAAACTCATAAACTCATAATATAACTGTCATCGAAACCTTAAGCGTGCGGACCCTACGGTTCGAGAACAATGTAGACATGACCGAGACACGTCTCCGGTCAATAACCAATAGCGGGACCTGGATGCCCATATTGGCTCCTACATATTCTACGAAGATCTTTATCGGTCAGACCGCATAACAACATACGGTGTTCCCTTTGTCATCGGTATGTTACTTGCCCGAGATTCGATCGTCGGTATCTTAATACCTAGTTCAATCTCGTTACCGGCAAGTCTCTTTACTCGTTCCGTAATATATCATCTCACAACTAACTCATTAGTTGCAATGCTTGCAAGGCTTATATGATGTGCATTACCGAGAGGGCCCAGAGATACCTCTCCGACAATCGGAGTGACAAATCCTAATCTCGAAATACGCCAACCCAACATTTACCTTTGGAGACACCTGTAGAGCTCCTTTATAATCACCCAGTTACGTTGTGACGTTTGGTAGCACACAAAGTGTTCCTCCGGCAAACGGGAGTTGCATAATCTCATAGTCATAGGAACATGTATAAGTCATGAAGAAAGCAATAGCAACATACTAAACGATCGGGTGCTAAGCTAATGGAATGGGTCATGTCAATCACATCATTCTCCTAATGATGTGATCCCGTTAATCAAATAACAACTCTTTTGTTTATGGTTAGGAAACATAACCATCTTCGATTAACGAGCTAGTCTAGTAGAGGCATACTAGTGACACTATGTTTGTCTATGTATTCACACAAGTATTATGTTTCCGGTTAATACAATTTTAGCATGAATAATAAACATTTATCATAAAATAAGGAAATAAATAATAACTTTATTATTGCCTCTAGGGCATATTTCCTTCAGCAGTGATGAGATCCCGACTGGGAGGAGCCGTCGCAGCAGTATGCAGAGACCAGGGAGGTTTGTACCTGGGTTCATCAGCGGTTGTCTTTCAAGGTATTAATGACCCACTAACTTTGGAGACTTATGCTTGTCGTGAAGCTCTGGCTCTAGCTGAAGACCTGGCGGTTCAAAATATTTGTGTGGCGTCGGACTGTCAAGAAGTGGTGAATGATATCAACAGGGGCACCGGAGGCCCCAATGCTGCGTTGGTGCATGAAATATCGAGTCATTGTAATAGTTTTATTTCTTGCTCTTTTATTCACGAGCGTAGGAACTATAATTATGAGGCTCACAATCTCGCCAAGTTTGCTTGTACCCTAGACCTAGGTAGACATGTTTGGTAGGACCACCCTCATGATCCAAACCTTGTACTCCCTCCTTCCATCTAAGACTAGCCACAATAGGAGTAACTTAAGCAGTAACATTGAGTCCAACTCAGCAAATTTGCTTGTGTGGCAATGAGTTAACGATGAGAGAGATAGTTACAGTAACTTAGCTAGTTACTGTAACATCACATGTCCCAATGCAATATGAGTCTATAACCTAATAAATGAACATTTGCATGACACTACACTTATGTTACTACCCACTATGAAGGTAGTAACATAGTCTAGGAATATGTGTATGTTACTAGTGTATGTTACTCTCGATTGTGACTAGTCTAAATAGGGCCTAATGCATTTTTCAAGACGAAGTTTGACCAAATGTTAAAACAATAATATGACATGCAATTTACACAAAGCATATGGTCAAATTCGTATGTGAAAGGAGGTTCCAATGATATAATTTTCACATTATACAACTCATGTACTATTAATCTTGTCAATAGTCAAAGACGGTCTTAAAAACACATTAGACCCTACATAGATGGAAGAAGAGAGTACCTATGTCGACAATCTTGAATGAATAAAGATGGCAAGATTTCTAAAAAAATGATACAAAGGGGCACGACCTCCATGTGGAGAGGGCATCAAGAATAGTACTTATATCGAGACTGAGTCTCTTCCTCGTTTCTCATGATCAACAAGGATCAAGTCCACTTATGACCGATGACGAGCGTACGTACGTGGCTGCCACAAGACCACTTGAGACCACCTCGTTTCTCATCAAAACACAGTATGGCCCTCCTTGCTTAAAGTAGAGTGATCACGATCGAATGACACCTGTTCGGGCGGAAAGGAGTTTGACGATCCATATGCGATTTTGTTAAGGGCCTATTTGGTTTCAATAAGTCACCTGACTTATAAATCAGGTGACTTAAAACTAGTGACTTATAAGTCATGCTTGTTTGGTTTTCACCTGACTTATAAGTCATCTGAGCACATCTTCCCACCTTGTTTTTTTATGTAAAGGTGATGGGACCCATGCAAAAGAGGGTGACTTATAAGTTTTAAGTTAGGTTGGAGCAACTTATGACTTATAAGTTGGGGTGACTTATAAGTTGGATCTGTTTGGCAAAATAAGTCATTTTTTTCACTTTTCGACTTATAAATTGATTACTTATTTGAAACCAAACAGGCCTTAAGAGTATCGTAGTATACTGGGTAGATAGAGGTAGAGGCCCTCCTGACGCGTGCGTGTACCCGCGCGGCGCCATGCGATGGTGGCGCTGCCGAAGAAGAAGAAAGAGGGTGGGGGGAAGGAATCGCGGCAGGGCAGCTGTAAACTGCTGGCCAACGCAGGAGCCACTCTTCTCACCAAACCGAGCTAAATCCCGCCACCGTCGGCCAAGAGGTCAACGCCTCCCGATCCGGAGCCGAGCCCGTCTGTCGCAGGTGAGGTGCATCGAATTTGCGTGCGTATCCCAAATTCCAGCGGACGGAGGGAGACGGATGGGTGCACGCACGAGCCACGCACGCGCGTGCGTGCGTGCAGCTGCGCGTCGTTGGGGAGACAGTTGGGCGTCGCCCCGCCCCCGCCGCAGCTGCCAACTACCCGGCACCTGACCCTCTTCCCCCCTTCCGTTCCCCAGCCAAGCCAAGTCCGTTGCGTCCTCCCTCATCTTTCGCTCCTGAGACCACCACCGGAGGCGAGGGGAGGGAGGGCAGAGCACGCACCCACACCGCACGCCCTTTGGATGCGGCTGACCCTCTCCGGCCGGGTTGACCCACCACCACCAGCGTTCCTCTTCCGTCCCCGACTCGGACACCCCCTGCCCGCTACAACTCCCAATCCGGCTCCAGCTCCCTCCCCTTTATATACCCACCGTCTCCCTCTCCTCCTCCCATCCCCAGTAAAGCAGTAAGCAATTCCACTCCCGCCGCCACCTCCCTCTACTCCGGCGCTCTCTCGGACGCTCCGGCATACATACGTACTTACAAGCGGAAGCAGCCAGAGCCAGCCATGTGCCCCGGGGCGCCGGTCGCGGCGGTGGCGTCGGACAAGAGCGTGTGCGTGATGGACGCGTCCGGCCCGCTGGGCCAGGCGCTCGTGCACCGCCTCCTCCGCCGGGGCTACACCGTCCACGCCGCCACCTACGGCCGCTCGCTCGACGCGCTCGCGCTGCTCGCCGCCGCCGGCCACGACGAGGACCGGCTCAAGCTCTTCCGCGCCGACCCCTTCGACTACCACTCCATCGCCGACGCCGTCCGCGGCTGCTCCGGCCTCTTCTGCATGTTCAACACCCACGAGGACCAGGCCGGCTGCGACGTGAGTTGATCTTCCAATCACCAATCACAACCCCTCCTCTCCTTCCTTTCCTCCCTCCCCGCCATTACTACTAAATTAGTAGAAGTAGTTTCAAGAAAGAATCATGGATGGATCGATCGTGCCGTCACATCGGGTCGCTTGATCCCGATTCTCTTATTTACCCCCCGCAAGAATCTAATCTATCCCCGATCGCCGGATCGGCCTGCCTGCCATGTTGCAGTGGCTAATCGGTTGGATAAGTAAGAATTCAGAGAAAACACTGGCGCTACTGCCGTACCACTGCGACAGTACAGTACAGCTAGTCGTTGAGCATCTACCACTATTTCTTCCTTTCTCCTTGGCGTGAGCTGGGCCTTAATGGCACAGCTCATCCGCTTCCTCCCGCTGCCCCCTCCACCACTGGTACTACTCCAGTGCAGCAGCATTAACTCTGCTCCAAACCTCTGGCAGGGGAGAAGCCGCTAGGCCTTTCCCGCGCCGCGTGCATTAACGCCTCCGAATGGAGGCTTCACCACACACACCACACAATACACACAGCTGGTTCTAATCAAGGCTGTGCCTGCCTGCCGCCAATTAAGCAGACCGTTGGGTGCTAGTAGCTGGTTAATCAATTATATTAATCTGAGTGGCTGATGGATGGTGGTGCAGGAGGTGATGGTGGAGGTGGAGGTCCGGGCGGCGCAGAACGTGCTGGAGGCGTGCGCGCAGACGGTGACCATGGAGCGGGTGGTCTTCACCTCCTCCGTCACCGCCGTCGTCTGGAAGGACGACGACCACAAGCCCGTCGACGCCTTCGACGAGCGGAACTGGAGCGACCTCAACCTCTGCAGGAAGCGCAAGGTAATCAATCAATCAAGCGCTGCAGCTTCTTTCTTTTCAGCGCAAGGGCATAATCTTGTTACGAAATCCAACAACTAGTGAGACAGTCTTGTTGCGAAGCCCAGCAAGCATGTCTTGCTACGAATCAATCCAACAACTAGTGAAACAGCCTTGCTGCGGAACCCAGCACGGAAAGAAAGCGGGCCACCAGACCCCGAGAAAGCAACGCAGCAGTCCCGTCGCTCTTGGCGTTAATTATCCGTGTGCAATACAAGCGCCTAGCAGCACTGCATTACCAGTCAGAAACCTGTACGTGTCAAACTCAAACTTCCAATAAGTGGATGAGGCTAGTAAGAACCGGCTTCCCAACTGTGAAGATTAAGACACAGAAAGAGAGCTACTACAAATAATGTAGTCGGCCCCCGCAAGAAAACAAATACTGCTGTATATGTTCTAGTAACACATCCTAGTCCACACAAAGATCATCCTTGCTTTGAATATTTGATTATTATATATAGGTACTAATTAAGCAGATGGACAAATGGCACTTTTAAATTGCTCCAGCTACTTATTTCTCGACGAGAACTGGTCCTCTGTTTCTGAATTCTGATGAGAAGCAGTGTCCTACTTGTTGGGGCCATCCACTACAGCGGCCCCATGTTCCCGACATGTTTGCCAAAATGCCAAACGCAAGCTACCAGCGTCTCCTCGTGCAGCTGTCACCAAAGTTGCATGTGCAAGCTTGGAACAATGCTTTCACAACACACACACCCTTTAGGACAGCAGCGCAATCACAATAGTTATTACTGGAAAGACACACGTTTTACTTGACGTATAGCTTCTTGTTTTAATTACTGTTATTACTGGGGGGTTGGTGCAGTTGTGGCATGCGCTGGCCAAGACGCTGTCGGAGAAGACGGCCTGGGCCTTGGCCATGGACAGAGGGGTGGACATGGTGGCCATCAACGCCGGCCTGCTCACCGGGCCGGGGCTCTCCTCCGCCCACCCCTGCCTCAAGGGGGTCCCCGAGATGTACGAGCACGGCGTCCTCGTCACCGTCGACGCCGACTTCCTCGCCGACGCCCACGTGGCCGCCTACGAGTGCCCCACGGCCTTCGGCCGCTACCTCTGCTTCAACAACGTCGTGTGCCGGCCCGAGGACGCCCTCCAGTTCGCCCAGATGCTCACCCCGTCCGCTCCATGCTACCCGCCGAGGTACACACGCTTCTATGAATTAGTACTAGCATTTATTTCAGCTCAAAAATTCTAAGAAAATCCGGTGAAGTGTCTTGTATCCTGACTGACCTGTGATGAACTTTGATTTGCAGTGATGAGCTGAAGGTGATCCCACAAAGGATTCAGAACAAGAAGCTGAACAACCTGATGGTGGAGTTTGCCAGTGCCATATACGGGGACTTGGATTAGAGAATCACTAGTTCATTGATTTACATCTCAAGGGCAGCTAGGGTTGTATTCTTTATGTACCTAAATATCTGTATTCTTTTTCCTCCTGAAAAGGGAAATATGGTTGGTCAGATGTACAAATCTGTACAAGGCCAAGCATGCCGCATGTATTCCACCACTCTTACCAGGATGGTAGGAGCATTTGAGCCAGTGCTTAGCAATGTAGTAGTAATCCTTAGGTCCAACAAAAGGGAAAATAAGTCCACAGTTATGTTACTACTGCCTTGTACAGCAGCATTATATGAATATGATGAACAAATGTTGAAAGCTTCAAGGGGTGAGATAGATATGAGTTGTATATACATTAACCATATGAAACTGAAACTTTTGAAAAGCTTGGTGTACATGGTTTGACAAACAACGTCAAGTAAACAAGTGATAAAAATCAGCTGTCAACTACATATTCATCTGACAAAAAACCATCCTAAATCGACAAAGCTCATACTTAACATTCACAGCATCACCATCACTGGTGGGCCATACAATGGCGGTACATCGACCGGCGACCGGCACCGTAGAGTGAAGCATGCAGAGCATCATTGCATACGTCATACTACTCGACACACAAAGAAGCGTTCCAGATCCATCTTGCCTTTCCGCCAGGTGGCTCCACAGAAAACGACAGTTCAATCCTAGGCTCCAAAACCCCATAGACAAGGAGAGAGCAAAAGAGAGTGGACCAACCATCCCTCACCAGCAATGCCAATACGGCTGAGGGGTTGAGATTTCAGCTGCAGACTTGCAGTTGCAGTCTACACACACTCACCTAAATCTCAACAACAAGAAACATATTCTGTTATTCATTCATGTAATTCATGTTCAGTTACATCTTGACTTGAAAATAGGGATGGATGTACAGAGGCAAGAGAAACACATCTCTTCTGAGGGAGCCAGAAAGTTTGGAAACTGTAGCACACCCAAGATACTGCGCATGAAATTTCTACTTACTAGGCGCTCAGTGTCACGGAAGCAACACTCGACAGCTTGAATTTCCGGACTTTCTTGGAGTGCAACGGCTGGAAACGAATCTCGGTGTACTGCTTCACGGAGATCTCTTTCCATTCTGAAGATGAAGTGCCCTCAGCTCGGTAATCTCGAGGAGAATACAGTATTTGGACTCGCGACCTGCCTGTATTTGCGCAAGGGACAAACCAAATCAAACAGATGTGGCTCATTCAAATTGATTAGAGCATTTTAGCCAGCAGATTTAACAGAAAAAACAAGCCATGCTAGTTATTTTGGATACGGATTATGTAAACTGATTAAATCAATGTAGTGAAGCAAAATAGAGAATTAAAACTCTCCTTGTGGTTGGTGCTTAAATAGCATCTTGGAAGAGGATAATTTGATCAGGTGATGTTGGAAGGTGATGAACATTGAACAATGAAAATAAATGCAACTAAGACAACTGATCATATCTTCTATACATATCCATTAGGAAAGTATGTCTAGTGTGAAAATGTGTTCTTTTAATCCTGTTCAAACACCAGAAAATGCTCAACAATGGTGAGTGGTCAAACAAGTTCGATAAAAGTAACAATGGTTCCTCTTTTTCCAAAGCCATTCTTATCTGATCCTTCCAAAGTAATTATCTCAATCTGCTGTCAGACCGATTTTTGGGGCTTGTTACAGAAAGAATCAGGGCGTCTGGTGTATCATGAAGGTGCTGTGAGTATCAAGAAGGTGGCCAATGGGATAATTAACAAGGGCCAAGACGAATGATGACTTTGAAGAGACTGTTGATGTTTCTCTTAATTATCTGATGAGACCCACCCATGGGTGCTGGCAGGGTGTTGCAATAACCATATGTGAGGTCTTCTGTGCTGCAGCTAGGGGGTCTTGTAAGTGATCTAAACACTTTTATACTTTTTTTACAGAGGGAGTAATATACTAGCGTAGTATTGCAATTTTTGTTATGATGCTGTCGTGAACCTCGATTCACAACAGGATAACTACCGTGCTTAAGATATCTTAGACGGCATGGCTCCAGCCTCCAGGGGATTGGTTGGAACATACATCGAGATGAGAATGTTTAGAAGAATAGATTGTTTTATTGCATGATTCATTAATGAGATACATAGCATCGTTCTAATACAATACAGACCCCTTAACAGATTAGGGTCACTTTATCATAGTCTTCCTAATAAAGCACTAATTCCTAAATGGAACCTGACCTCCCTCTATTCGGCCACCCTGCTGCTAGTCCAAGACGTATGCCTTTTGTCAAATGCTAGTCACATTGTGGGTATTTAGCAGCCTGGGCGGATTAGCTGTTTAATTTATTTTTTCTTGTGAACTCATCTAGCATGTTTAGTTCCCTTTTCTAAGAGAAGGAATTTTTACCTTCTGCTCGATTGACCATATCACTAGAGCTTTCTTATAAAATAAATTCCTGTACAGTACCAGGATGAACATATCCATAACATCTACAGGCCTTTCATGCATCTATTTTCTTTTCATGCATCGATCTAGTATTAGGCATTAGTATATGTGCCAAAACTACTTGAAGCACAACCGTTTCCCTGCCAACCTAGAGCAATAACAAATCACAGTACAGAATATGCTAACATGGGGAGTACAAAACAGAATAGCAAGAAGACACAGTACACAGGGCTTACCAAAACCTCCAAAAAGAGTTGATTTCTGGATGACAAATCGGCTAACTTTTGATCTCTTCACTTTTTTCAGGAGTGGCATGTCTTCATGCTTGCCTTTAAATTCCATGAATTCACCAAGGACATTTTTGTCCCCTCTGAGTTCCAGCCTAGAAAAGGGCAGTGCAACTATAAAAACATAACCAGAGGTTCTATGTGCTCGTGTTGCACTGAACTGCAATATAGTACTCCCTCTGTCCCGTAATATAAGAACGTTTTTCAAGCTAACAGAACGTTTTTCAAGCTATGTTAGCTTGAAAAACGTTCTTATATTATGGGACGGAGGGAGTACATACTAACAATATTTACTGATTGCAAATAGCTAAATAAAAGAATAATCTGAAGGTTGCTTCTTAACAACCCAAATTTCTCCAACCAAAATACAAATGGCATGAGATCTTTTTTTCTCATGATATTCCTGCCCGTCCCTCCCTAATGCACCAGGAAAGACAATCGGAAGAATAAGGGCAATGGAAAGTTTAGAAGAAAATAAAAACCATTATGGTGGTGTATTTTACCTGTCCCACATAGGCGACGTGCTGAGAATAGAATACAGATTTTGGAGTAACGAATCTTGGATGTCGCTTTTGTTTCCATGAAATGCACCTTTAATCCATGTCGAAAGTCCACCTTTTGTGTCTGCCTTAAGATCTTCCCATTGATCGGACGAGATAACCTCCGGTTGAAGATTAATAGTGTATGATGGCCTGATAAAGCACAACACAACTGAGCAACCATCTAAGGGCAGTGAAGCAAAAAAAAGTCATGTACAGAGAACTAACTTGCAGTTGAGATTTGGAAGTACAACTCTTCCGTTTACAATCCCGTTAGGCAGTGTTGCCCCCCTCTGCTCCAAGTATGATTGAAGATTGGCAGCTATCCTACTGACTTCTAGTACCTATGAGAACAAAATTCAGCAAATGAATTGACAATAATACAACTCGTACTGTTATTATGTTACAAACAAGTGATGCGCAGGAATCAAACAAGAAAAAGTAAACTAATAGAGTCATTCGAGTTTTGATTGTGAGTATTCCTTTTTCCACTAACTAACCTGCAGTTGGGATTTGGCAACATAATGCAAATGATCTTATTATTCAGAACACAATAAAAAGTACAAACCGTCAATTTCTTGTTCACTGTAAAGAATATCCCTCAGGAGGTAGCAACAATATACTACTTGACATGCATGACCCACTGTCCCATAACATTGTTTTCTCACAAAAAGTACAAGGCTGTGGTAAGACAACAGTTGCAAAACACTTTGTGATTTGGTGTCTTACTGCCGTAAGGCAGTTACATTCACTCGGTGGCTCCCTAGTTTACACTAAGTTCAATAATTAAAAAGCTATTACAACAACAATTCTGGAATGGTTAAGCAAAATGGAATGTTCAAGTTGCATACCGGGTTTGGAATAACCTCCTTCTTGCGCTTCTTTTCGGTGAACCAGTTACCATCCTTGTCAACCTCAACAAAACCAGAGACATTGTTGATTGCCACCACCATGACCTCCCTGTCGCCAAAAAAGATTTAGACTCTTGCTTTCCACTTTGTACCATGCGACAGTTCAGTCAGTCGAATTAATTGACGACGATATAATGAATTGGTTAGGTGATATGTAAGATCTCTGGATGCAGTCATTCACATCAAGGCTCATATGATCGAGTACATGATACCGCTAGTAAGTATGTATGTTACACCAGCTAAACACAACATTCAGCAAGCACAGGAGATATAGACAGATACATGAACAGATCCATCTGGAATGATGGAATAGGCTGTGAGGAGTGTCTGTTCTAATCTCTAGCACTATTCGAGAGCTAGAACAATAAAATTCAGCGGAACGTGCACAAACCAGAGGCAGAGCGAAGTGAGCGGGGGAGAGGGAAGGAGCGTGGGTGGTCGCGGGCTGACCTCTTGGTGACGAGAACGACGTCGACATGCTGGCGCTCGCCGGCGTCGGGGTCAGGGATGCGGAGGCCGACGAAGCAGCGGCCGCCGTAGAGCCTCTCGAGCCTGGAGCGGAGATTGAAGTTGAAGGGATTGATCATTAGGGTTTACCGAGGGGACTGGATGAGGGGGCGGGTTGCAGGGATGGGTACCTGGCTGCGACGGCGAAGCAGAGATCGGAGTGGGAGGAGTCGAGGCCGGCGAGCTGGTCGAGGCCGTCGTCGGAGAAGAAGACGGCGCGGATGAGCTTGTAGGCCACCAGGCCGCACAGTATCTCGACCCACATGGCCGCCCGCCGCGGCGATCGATCCACGATGCTAACCAGTGGAGGAAGGGGAAGGGAAGGGGCGGTGGAGGAGGAGGATGAGATGCTTCGCTTTAGGGAATGGCGGAGGCGGTTCAACTTTTGAGAAGGATTGGAGGATGGGAGAAGAGGGGGGATCCAGTAATTATCAGACTGCGAAATGGAATTTCTTCTTTCCTTCTTTTCCCCCGTTCCTGATATAATTTTCTTTATAAAAGAACTAAAGAATTTTCTTTATATGCGTTGCAGCAAGGCACCATATTTTCTAGGGCAAACACCTTGTAATTTACCAGCCATTTTATTGTGTAAGTCTGATAATTATATCTGATATTTTCTAGGGCAAACACAATATTCTCTAGTAGCTTATTATATAGCTTACCAAAGAAAATATGATTTTGTTTGGTAAGTCTATAAAACATGTGCCAGTCAAAAGCGATTTAAAAAAATGGTGGAAAAAGATCAATAAAATCATAAATAAAGAAGGTGGGTGGGGAGAAGTATGAAAGACAAAATGAACGACATAAATGAAGGAGGACTTTCCTCCATCATCATGCTCACGTCCTGGGCCATATTGAAGCATCGCAAACGGATGCATCTTCGATGACCGACAACTTTCCGTCTCCCGACTCGTCTATGAGCTTAAGGATGAGACGTGATTATGGGCCAAAGTCGGAGCCACGACAATGATGAATCTACTTCCGAAGATGTAGCCCTTTTGTTGTTTGGGGCTGAGCAACCCCTTTTCTTCTGCTCTAGTGCAATGCCATGTCACGTACATGTCGCAAGATGGACTAGTGTCCATCTTGTTTTCCCGGTCCAGAAGATACAAAGCACTTATTGTTTTGTGCAATAAAGCAAGGGAGGTTTGAAGGAAGATGGGGATGGAGGATATTATCAATAGAGCCTGTGAAGTTTTTTTTTTTGAACCGGGCATTACCCCTTTCCATTACTGCAACATAACGGAAATACAACAGTCCAAAGAGAAGGAGAAAAGGGGAAGCGAGTCCAACGCATCGCCGGGAAAGCCACTGTGAGCACTCGCCATCGAGATTTCTCACCGCGGGGCGAAAACCCGACGACACCTAATCACAGTAGCTAGCATCCAAGGCCTAAAGCCCCAAAAGAACACAAGACATAAAGCTCGCACACAGCAGAGCAACATAGTTCAAGCCCACGTAAGGGGGGGAAGTAACTCAAGCAACTATTTGAACCATGGAGCAGCATCTCCAGCAGATCAGCATGCCGCCTCATCTTGGTTCGCCGCGCAGATTCTCATCATCATCGACGTGTTCTCCTTCAGCATCTCTGCCCCGCCCCTCATGGCAGCCGCTTCATCTTGCCTCAGCAGTCCTTCCCAGTAGCACATTAAGGCACAAGCAGAAAAAATACATTCAAACGGGTTTGTAAGTGGTTTGAATTCAAAGGTAGCTATATTACGACAAGATCATATCGCCCAGCATACAACAGCAATCCCTGCTGTATAAAAATTTTCCCCACCAGGGAAGAACGTATAGCACCATGCGTAAGCTTGCCAAATGTTATCGGGGCACAGGGCAGTACCAAACATGCATGCCACCGTCCTCCAGGTCACCCTGGCAACAGGGCATGTAAAGAATAAGTGTTGAGCAGTCTCTCGCCCACCGCACAAAGAACATTTAGGATTTCCCTTCCACCCTCGATGCTTCATCACATCTCTCGTTAGGACAGCGTCTTGAAACAGCTGCCACAAAAAAATTTGGATCTTAAGAGGTATTCTGGCATTCCAGATCCATCTATAATCGCATCCAGCAATGTTCCTTTCCAGGAAAGAGTAAACTGATTTAGTAGTAAAAGAGGATTTCCCTCCCATGCCCCATCTAATCACATCGGAGGCCTCTGAGACACAAGCCTCTCTAGCCATTTTACTCACATTCACCCATTGAGCACTGAGCTCGCTGTTCAATCTCCTTCTAAAGAAAGAGGAGGGATCCGCATTTAGGCACTGGGCCACCGTGCACTCAGGAAAGTTGCAGATGGAGAATAAACGAGGAAATTGTTCCGCCAGAGGGGTGTTGTTCCCAATGGGGTCAATCCACAGCCTAGCAACATCACCAGATTGTATAACCACTCTTCTCCCTGCCATATATAGATGTTTCACCTTCATAATGGCCTTCCAGCATGGAGAATCATTGCTTTTCATTTTAATACTAGCCACTGTGGCCCTATTAAAATACTTCGCTTTCACAATATCTTGCCACAGGCCAGACTTAGTTTCTAGTTTCCACCACCATTTAGTAAGTAAACTGAGGTTCTGTTTGTGTAAATCTTTTACACCCAGCCCTCCTTTTTTCTTAGATCTGCATATTCTAGTCCACTTGACAAGATAATATCGTTTTTTATTCTGGGTCACGTGCCAGAAAAATCTCCTTCTGCACTTGTCAATCCTAGCAAGTATAGTTTTGGATAAAAGAAACATGGCCATATAATAAAATGCAATGCTAGAGATGTTAGCATTTATTAATGTCAGGCGTCCTCCGGAGGAGGCATTTCCCCCCAATCCAGAGTCACATCTTTGGATGTATCTGGATTCCAGAAGATCCCAGTCAGCAACTCGCAAGGAGGAAAAGGTCACTGGCACTCCCAGATATTTCATGGGAAAGTGCCCTATTTGGCAATTAAACATATCAGCATATGCTTTAAGAGTATCATCATCCCCTCCCACACATAGGATTTCACTTTTTTGGAAATTGATCTTGAGCCCAGACATGAGCTCAAAGATGTATAGTAACAATTTCATATTCACAGCCTTATCTAGGTCATGATCAATACATAAGACCGTATCATCTGCATATTGCAGAATGGCCACACCATTTTCAATAAGATCTGGCGCCAGCCCAACAATTAGATTGTTTTTTTTGTGCTGATAACACCATCTTAGACAAGCACTCGACTGCTATGTTGAAGAGGAATGGCGACACAGGATCTCCTTGTCTGACCCCCTTAAAACTTTTGAAATAAGGCCCCATAACATTATTCAACTTAACGCTGCCAGTGCCACCAGTCAGGACACTTTTGATCCACTCACACCAAGTGGTACCGAACCCTCTCATCTCGAGACATTCCAACAGAAAGTCTCAATTCACCTTGTCATATGCTTTCTCGAAATCAAGCTTAAGAACGATGCCTACTCTTTTTTTATGGAAGTGTGATGTAAAATCTCATGCAAAGACAGTACCCCATCCATGATATTTCTATGCTTAATAAATGCATTCTGATGTCTACTGAATAACTTGTCAGCAAAAGGTACCACTATGTTATCGAGCACCTTAGTGATCAATTTGTAAGGACATCTCAACAAACAGATGGGTATAAACTGCTGGATTTTGTTAGCCCCATTGATTTTTGGTAACAAAGTTATGATACCATAGTTCATTCTACTAACGTCGAGCTCTCCTGCATGAAAGGCAGTGAACAGCTTCATAATGTCCTCTTTAACTATATCCCAACAATGCTAGTAGAATTCAGCAGGTATATTATCCGGGCCCGGAGCCCTGTTGCTTTTCATGGAAAACAAGGCTTTTCTCACTTCCTCTTCCGTGAACAGCCTGTTAAGGATCTCATTATCTAGCTCATCGAGCTTCTCTTCTTCTCCCCAAATATCAGGGTCAAGATGAAACATGTTCCCCTGGGCTGGCCCAAAAAGACTTTTATAAAAGTCAGTAGCATGCTCCAAGAGCTTCTCAGTCCCTTCAATCACCGCATCCCCAACATTAAGAGAATGAATAGTATTTTTTCGTTTATTCCCATTGGCTATTTTTTGATAATAAGCCGTGTTTCGGTCCCCCCAAGCAACCATCTCTCTTTAGACTGTTGCAACAAAAAAAGCTCCTCATTAATAAGGATTCCATTCAGCTCCACTAGGAGATCAATTTTCCTACCAAATATTTCATGGTCAATATTACCATCCTCTTCTAGTTTTTCAATAAAAGCAAGTTCGTCTCTAATCTCCTGCTTCCTTTTCTTCTCATGACCAAACTTGTTTGATCCCCGGCCTTTGAAAAATTTCTGAAGTCTTTTCAGTTTGATATTCAAGATATCAATAGGATCGGTAGCATTCACTTTTTGGTTCCAAATCTTGTTAACTAGAGGAACAAACTCCTCAGATTTTAACCAACTCATCTCAAATCTAAACTCTCTCTTTTGTGGAGCTCTAATAACATGATTATCAGAGTACAAAAGGAGAGCATTGTGGTCAGAGACCTCCCTAACGAGCTTTTTCATGTTAACAAGAGGAAACATGTCTTCCCAATCGTTGCTCATAAGCACACGATCCAGTTTCTCCAAGGTGGGATGCGCTTGATTATTAGACCAAGTGTAGGCTCCTCCACTCATATGAATCTCATTCAAACACATAGTGTTGATGATTGAATTAAACAGATCAGAGTGCACCGAACGGTGCCATCTTTTATTTCTCTCCCCACTATGCCTAAGAATATTGAAGTCACCTCCAATCAACAGGGGGGTTTGAATGTGGCAGCAAAAATCCTCCAGTTCACTAAGGAAATCACTCTTGTCACACTCATGAGTCGCTCCATACACTGTACAAAGTGTCCAATTTTTTTTCATAATGATATCATAAAGAGATACCTGCAGAATAAATCTGCCTTTCCTCCAAGCAACTACTTCAAATTTTTCTTTTTTAACACCACATAGGATACCCTCAGCCTTACCAATTGAGGGGATCCAATCCCACTCAAACAAACTATAAGGGTCAAGTTTCCTGAAATAACTCTCCAGGAAATTCTTCTTTAAAGTTTCTTGCAAATAAATAAAATCAAGGAAATGGTCTCTAATTATATGGGATAGGCAGGTTTTCATCCCTTTTTTCCTGCCCCCTTGCAATTCCAAAATAGACCTATCATTTATATCTTTTCCCTTTTCTCCCCCCTCTGGTGGCCCTGGTATTATGAACAGGGCTGCCAACTTGTTTTTTCTCAACAAGG